CTAATCCACCTAAATGGTGTAAAACACAAGAAAACAAAATCACTGCACTGGAGTCAAGGATGTCTACTAATCATGGCTATGTTGAAGAGTTGTTAAAAATCCTAACAGGAAGAACGGGTGAAGAAGAACAGTCTGTTGGGGAACAAGTACAAACTCCTAATACTTCTAAAAATGGTGAGAAGAGTCATGTTTTGGTGACTGTTGCGAATGACAAGTCTAGATTTACTTATAAAATGGATGAACTTGAGATATTAAAGACTAAACCTGATGCTTGTTTAGCCCTTAAGAACAGTTCTAGGCATGAGAATCAAATGGGTGAAAACAGTGAATCTAGACCTATTATGTTAGGTCAGGAAGCTGAGAAAAAGGGCTCGGGGGTTCATTTAGCAGTTCAGGGACTATGTGGCACAGACCTAAAATAGAACTGTCATTCTTTGAAGGGGTTAATCCTAGGGGATGGATTAAAAAAGGCCTGAAATATTTCTCTATTTGTAGTGTTCCTGTTGAACAAAGAGTAGATGTAACTACTATGTATTTGACAGGCAAGGCGAAAATATGGTTTGATGGTTATATAATGCAAAAGCACCATATAACATGGCATGAATTTGAAGCTGATCTTTGTCATAGATTCAGTGACATATCTTTTTCTGATATTGTAGAAGAGTTTACTAAATTGACTCAAAAGGGGTCAGTGAAGGATTATCAAGAAAAATTTGAGGAGTTACAGCCTCATATGTTATTATAGAATCATACTTTGATTGAGGAGTTTTTTGTATCACTTTTTATTAGTGGACTAAGAGATGACATTAAGCATAGGGTCAAGGCTTTAGATCCTAAAAACTTGTCTGAAGCATGTAAACATGCCAAACTCTATGAACTGTCTGTGGAGTTTGAAAATAAAAGATTAAGGCCTTCTTTTAAAAGCCCACCCTACCCAAACCCTATATCTATATCTAAGACAACTACACTGCCAGTGCATACAAAGCCTACCTCCATACCAAATCCAAAACAAAATCTTATGGATTACAGAAGGCAAAATAATATCTGTTTCAAATGTGGTGAGAAATATCTGCCAGGTCATCAGTGTAAAAACAGGCAGTTGAATATGATTACTGAACAGGTTGGCACTTATCCATTGGAAGTTTGTCCTATTGATACAGACAAATATCTGCAACCAGAAGATGAAAACCTAGAAATTTCTATGAATGTTATTACTGGTTGCATTGGCCATAATACATTGAGAATACAGGGTACTATTCAAGGAATACCATTGAATATATCCTAATTGATGGTGGTAGTACACATAGTTTCTTGACCCTAAAATGGGCTGATACTGGTATAGAGATTAATACCCCTTATCCATTGGTCATCACTATGGCTAATGACTAACAACTTTTCAGTTCTGCTAGATGCAACAAAGTAGAATGGCAAATGCAGGGACATACTTTTTTACACGATTTTAGGCTGCTTAAATTGGGAGGAAGTGACATGGTCTTAGGAGTTGATTGGATGAAGTTATTCAGTCCAATATTAATGGACTTCAATAACATAACTCTAAGCTTTAATCATCAAGGGGAGCAAATTTGTATTCAAGGACAACAACCCTCAACTAAACTATAGCAAATTTCAGGGGCTACATTACTTAAAATGTTTGCATGGGATTTTGATATTTTGGGCCATATTGTCTTATTAACTATGGCATAAAATTCTACTTCTATTCCTACTGAACTCCAACATGTGTTGGAGCAATATAACACAATTTTTGCTGAACCTAAAGGGCTACCCCCTCAGAGAACTCATGACCATGCTATTCCACTTAAATCTAATACTACACCTATTAATTTAAGGCACTACAGATTTCCTCACAATCAGAAAGTTGAAGTGGAAAAACATATAGCTACAATGCTTTCTTCTTCTGTTATTAAGCCTAGCAGGAGCCCCTTTGCCTCTCCCTACCTTCTTATTAAAAATAAGGATGACAGTTGGAGATTTTGTATGGATTACAGACAATTAAGCAGTATGACCATCAAAGACAAATTTTCTATTCCTGTAGTGGAGGATTTATTGGATGAATTTCATGGGGCAGTCTATTTTTCAAAAATTGATTTGAGGTCAGGTTATTGGCAGATTAGAATTAAACCTAAAGATATTTACAAGACAACCTTTAGAACACATCAAGGCCATTATGAGTTTAAGGTAATGCCTTTTGGCCTTACTAATACTCCCTGCTACATTTCAGGCTCTTATAAATGAATTGTTCAATTCTTTCCTTAGAAAATTTGTTTTAGTTTTCTTTGATGATATCTTGGTGTACAACAACAGTATGCAAGATAATGTTGAACACTTACAGTTGGTTTTGGAAGGTTTGAAGGTGAACCAATTATTTGCAAAATTGTCCAAGTGTTTTTTGGATAGACTCTGGTGGAGTATCTTGGCCATATTATTTCTGCTGCAGGGGTGTCTACTGACCCTAGCAAGGTGGAAGCTATGCAGACTTGGCCTAAGCCTAAAACCCTTAAATCTCTCAAAGGGTTTCTAGGTCTAACAGGATATTACAGAAGATTTATCAGAAATTATGGCATTATTAGCAGACCATTGACACAAATGTTAAAAAAAGGATGAGTTTCAGGGACTTCTGATGCTTATAATGCTTTTGAAGATCTTAAGAGAGCCATGTGTTATGCTCCAGTATTAGCATTACCAGATTTTTTTAAGATCTTTTATCTGGAAATAGATGCTAGCTATGGAGGTATAGAGGTTGTTCTTTCACAATAAGGAAGACCTATTGCTTATTTGAGTAAAGCTCTAAGTCCTAAGAATTCAACACTATCTATTTATTAAAGAGATATTTTGTTATTCTCTTGGCTGTTTCAAAATGGAGACATTATTTGGAGAGTAAACCTTTTATTATTAAGACTGGTCATGAGCCTTTAAAATTTCTTTTAGAATAGAAGTTACTACCACTATTCAAAAGAAATGATTGACAAAGCTGTTGGGACTGGACTACACTATACAATATAGAAAAGGGAAGTTAAATGTTGTTGCTGATGCCTTATCTAGAAGATGGGAGAACCAGACTCAATGTTTTATTTTGGGAGCTACTGTTTTGATACCTACTTGGTTCAAGAGGTGGAAGAAAGTTATCAAGGTGATACTCTAGCTCATAATTGGATTTCAATTCTGACTATTAATCCTACAGCTGACAGTAAATGGAAGTATTCTAAGTCTATTGTTAGATACAGTGGTAGAGTCTATATTGGGGCTTATGGCAGCCTTAGATTGAAGATGATTAAAACCTTGCATGACTCTCCTCAAGGAGGACATTCAAGAGCACAAGCTACATATTATAGGATTAGGTCAAATTTTTATTGGCCAAATCTTAAAGATATGGTTGCTACTTATGTGAGATGATGTGAAATTTGCCAGTAAACTAAGGTGGAACATGTAGCAAAGCCTGGTTTGCTACAGCCCCTTCCTGTTCCTAATCAAGCTTGGGAAATAATTACTATGGATTTCATTAAAGGTTTACCTACTTAATTCAAGAAAAAACTATATTTTGGTCATTGTGGATAAGTTTACAAAGTACAATCATTTTTTGTCTTTAACTCACCCTTATTTTGCAACAGAGGTGGCTAAGCTATACTTAGACAATGTGTACAAGTTACATGGCTAGCCTAAAATGGCAATTTCTGACAGGGATAAGACCTTCACAAGTGTTTTTTGGAAAGAATTAATGAAGCAGTTAGGAACCAAGACACGTTTCAGCATTGCTTACCATCTATAAACAGATGGACAAACAGAGAGAGTTAATCAGTTTTTAGAGCACTATTTGAGAGGTCTTTGCTTCTATCAACCTAAGCAATGGGCTAAGTGGCTACCACATGCAGAGTAGTGGTACAACACCACTTATTGCACTGCTCTAAAACTAACTTCTTTTCAGGCCTTATATGGGTACAAACCACCTGATATGGTTTGGCCTACTGAGTCTACAGTACAAATAATTTCATAGATGATGAACAGTAGAGAGGTTACTAGACAGTTGCTTAAAAATCAGTTACAAATGGCAAGTAATCAAATGAAGCAGCAAGAGGATAAAAATTGAACTGAGAGGACTTTTGAGATTGGGGATATGGTTTACCTGAAATTGCAAGCCCTATAGGCAGACATCCATTGCCCTGCAAAAGAACTTGAAGTTAGCAACAAAATTTTATGGGCCTTATCGAATTCTGGAAAAAATAGGAACAGTAGCCTATCGATTGGACTTACCAGATTCCTCTCGATTGCATCCAGTATTCCATGTGAGCCTCTTAAAGAAGTTCATAGGCGATTCATCCACTGTTGTTACATATCCTCCTACAGTCGATGAAAAAGGGCAGTTACAAATCAAACCCTTAAAGATTATGGACAGAAGAATTGTCAATAGAAAAGGAAAACATGTCACTCAACTTTTGGTTCACTGGAAGAATCTCGCTGAAGAGAATGACACTTGGGAGGATTATTCGGCTCTGAAGGGACAGTTTCTTGCGTTCGATCCTTGGGGACAAGGCTCGTCTCGAGGGGTGGGTATTATCATGTTAGAGAAGAAGAACGACGAGGAAGCATCAAAGAATATCTGGGAAATGAGGATTGAGGGTTAGAGATTGAAGATAAAAATTGGGAATTAAATCACGTGAGATGCACGAGGTCACTTGCCGCAGCAGTGGAGCAGACCAGGCAAAGTAGAGGTCTGAAGGAGCAGCCCGAACCCGAAGGCCCAGTACCTGAAGAAGAAAGGAAAGAGAAGAATCATTCTATTATTTAATTGTTATATAGCTTGACAACTGGCATGAAATGTATGGTAAATGTAACTAAATAATTACCAGCCTGGGTTGTAAAAATTCCTTATACAATGAATGATGAAATTTCTTCTCTATCAGCTCCCTTTCTTCTAAATTTCATCTATCGAATCTTTTCCTTTTCTTTCAATCCATAACAGGAGAATGATGTTTTCATCAGGGAAGAAGAGGCTGAGCCAACCAATATTGAGGTTCCAGTGATGGCTTAAATCTTCGAGGATTACCGTTCTGATTGTCACCTGCTTGAGTTTTTGACTATGCTAGTTTCTTAGTGTTTTTAGTTGAAATTTGGCCCCGGATAAATGTTCAGGTTGTGGTTTTCGGTACTTTATTATTATGTTTTACCAAGATTATTAGTTTTATTCAAGTAATTTTTTAAATTTACAATATTGTTTTTGATTCTGCCAGTATTTTAGCAGTAATGAAAGATATATTGTATTTGTTATTCAAGGGCGAACTTCATGGGGAAAATATATCTTGGGTTGATCAGCAAAGAAATTTTATGTTGAAATCTGAATGGAAAAAGAACACTTTTTTGTCCATATCTGTTTATTCTCGACAAAATCAACGGAATTAATATTGATAAAGGGACTAATAAGCAGAAAGCAAACACCTTAATATTATTCACGAAGACTTTGCGGATTAAAAGACCAATCAGAGTCCGAGTAATGACTTCAGCAACTATTGTTTTGGCATTGCCACTTATATAATAGTTGTCGAGACGGTATTTCGCCCGACAAAAACGAGTATCGTTGTTTTCTAAATCTCGTCTAGAAAAAGTAAGTGATTTTCTTCTAGCATAATATAAAGCACAAATTTGAGGAGTCACCACCAATCATTTATGGATGTGTGATTGGTCACCAAAATTCTTGATTATTTTAATAAAATTTATAAAAATATTATTAAAATAACATAAAAAGGGTCTGCTTACCAGAAAATGAGTTCGGGAGTCGGTTACGTGTGAGGAAGGATTAGTACCCCACAACGTCCAAAATTGGTACATTGGTTTATTAATTAATGTCTTTGCAGTAAAAATTTATAAATTTAATTTAATTTAATTTATAATCCCTTCAATAAATATCAAGGGTATTATTTTACACCAATAAATCATTTAAAATACATTCCTACTAAGTTAAGAAAATGTTTTATAATTTATTTATAAAATAAAATAACCCAAACACACATAATAATTTTAATGATTAAATCAATAAAATATCAAAATTATAGGTTACTATTAATAAATACTTAATGTGCAAAGTACTATAATAGTAAATAATTCTAAAAATAATATTTAAAATTATTATTTTAAAACTAAAGGATTAAAATTGTAAAATATCAAAATTAAAAATCCTAATTCTAAATATCATGAAATCTAGGTATTATTTGTGTAATTTATTCCTAATTACTATTAGAATTAAAATATAAATTATTAAAATAATATGGACTAAATTTGATATTTATCCTAAATATATATAAATATATGAGTAGTGACTAAAATAAAAATAAATAAAATACGAAGACAAAATTAAAAGATATAGAAACTGATTTCGGTGGCTATAATGAAAGATTACAGAATACAGGGACCACATACGTGATTTATCAATCCTAAAATTACACAAACACTCTCTCCCAAAAACGACGTAGTTTTGAGAAGAGTATCAATAGGCCTTAAATGGTCATTTTCCCTCATTTTTCTTCATTTTCCTCTTTTTCTTCTTTCTCTAAGGAGAGAGAAGCTCTCCCTTCTCTCTAAACTCCCTCACCGAAAGGAAAACCGACCACCGCCCGGTCGGTCATCGGTCATTATTTACAGTGACCAAAAATTATAAAAATAACTCAAAATGTAGATTGAAACACCTTCTACTCGAATCCGAGTTTCTTTTTCGCTAAAAGCTAGTCAATCGGACTAGATCTGAGATTTTACCTTCGATAAAATCACTTTTCCGATGACGTTTGGGCTTCGACGGAGGTAAGATCTCTTCTCCTTTCTTTTTTCTTTCGACTTGTTTTGGTTGCTATGTGGAATTCTCTCCGTCTTTCTTTGTGTTTGCGCTATGTTCTTGTTGTCCTCTTCTTTGCAGGTTTTTAAGGCTTTTTATAGGCCTCGGAAGGCCTCAGACAACCGTTCATTTTGGTGAGTCACCGGATCTATGATGGTAGGGAGTGAGGTGTGCGGCTCTCCTGCGACTTCTGGAGTATTCTGGTGAGATCTGATGGTGACAGCAGCGATGGTGAGGTGTTACTGGAGGCGACTGCTGCTAGGGTTGGACTTGTAAATGGGCCTCTGTATTTTGCTGTAACTCGGCTTTTATTTTTATTATATTATTTGTAATAATAATATAATTATTATAATAATAATAGTATATAAAAATACAGGGGAAAATGATTGTCGACAACTGCCCCTCTTTGCTCATTTTTGTGTTAACAAGAATAGAGCAAAATAAAAAGGCAAGCAATTTTCGTCCAGTAGACTTCATACTTTGATGGGAAATTCGTTCCACTACTCTTCCAGGGAGATCAAAATTTGATCTATTTTTGCTTCACTACTCTTCCATGAAGGCTAAGATGGCTTTTCTTCACTACTCTTCCGTGGAGGCTAAGATGGCTTTGCTTCACTACTCTTCCTTGAAGGGTAAGATTGCTATGCTTCACTACTCTTCCGTGGAGGCTAAGATTGCTTTGCTTCACTACTCTAAGATGACTTTGCTTCACTACTCTTCCGTGGAGGCTAAGATTGCTTTGCTTCACTACTCTTCCATGGAGGCTAAGATGACTTTAATTCACTACTCTTCCATGGAGGCTAAGATTGATTTGCTTCACTATTCTTCCATGGAGGCTAAGATTGCATTGCTTTACTACTCTTCCATGGAGGTTAAGATGACTTTGCTTCACTATTCTTCCGTGGAGGCTAAGATGGGTTTTCTTCATTACTCTTCTATGGAGGCTAAGATTACTTTGCTTCACTACTCTTCCATGGAGGCTAAGATGGCTTTGCTTCACTACTTTTTTGTGGAGGCTAAGATTGCTTTGCTTCACTACTCTTCCGTGGAGGCTAAGATGACTTTGCTTCACTACTCTTCCGTAGAGGCTAAGATTGCTTTGCTTCACTACTCTTCCGTGGAGGCTAAGATGACTTTGCTTCACTACTCTTCTGTGGAGGCTAATATTGTTTTGCTTCACTACTCTTCCGTGGAGGCTAAGATAACTTTGCTTCACTACTCTTCCGTGGAGGCTAAGATGACTTTGCTTCACTAGTCTTCCGTGGAGGCTAAGATGACTTTGCTTCACTACTCTTCCGTGGAGGCTAAGATGGCTTTGCTTCACTACTCTTTTGTGGAGGCTAAGATGGCTTTGCTTCACTACTCTTCCATGGAGGCTAGGTTTGAATTAAGAAGAATCTGTTCCATTACTCTTCCGTGAAGATCGGACTCGAGGTTGATTTTCTTTCACTACTCTTCCGTAAAGATCAAATCTGACCTAATTTACTTCATTGTTATTCATGAATATCAAATTAAAAATATTGATTTCTCTTTAAGAGAAAATCAAGGATTAGTTCCTCTAGGGATTCAGAAATAATAAAGGTTGACTTCTCTTCACAAGGAAGTCAAAATTTGACTCTACTGGGGAATCAAGAATAACAAATGTTGACTTCTCTTCATGAGGGAGTCAAATATTGACTCTATTGAGGAGTCAGAAATAACAAATGTTGACTTCTCTTCATGAGGAAGTCAAAGATTGACTCTACTGAGGAGTCAGAAATAACAAAGGTTGACTTCTCTTTAAGAGGAAGTCAATGATTGACTCTACTAGGGAGTCAGAAATAACAAATGTTCACTTCTCTTTAAGAGGAAGTCAAAGATTGATTCTACTAGGGAGTCACAAATAATAAATGTTGACTTCTCTTCACGAGGAAATCAATGATTGACTCTACTGGGGAGTCAGAAATAACAAATGTTGACTTCTCTTTACGAGGAAGTCAATGATTGACTCTACTGGGAAGTTAGAAATAACAAAGGTTGACTTCTCTTCATGAGGAAGTCAATGATTGATTCTAGGAAACAAGATTAAGTTTCCTAAAAACATGTTCCCATAAAGCCACGACTGGAATTCTAGGGAAACTATCATAATAAAGACAAAAATTTCTTCAAACATAAAAATGTATCATGTATGTATAAAATGATGTACGATGCAATAACATGTATTATGCATGTTTTTTTATATGTGAAGGGATGACTGCCAAAAGCAATCTTCATTAACGTGCACTCTTGCAAGTTTTGAGCTGTGTTAATTCCTTCTTTCCCCATCAAATTCAGATCTCCAACAAGGTTTTTTTTTCAAACCACATTATGTCAAGATGCTTAACAACAACCCATCGTTCAATCTTAGTTGGCTCCACAAGTTTCTTGTTGTTAAATTTCCAACTTCTTTTCGTGGAAATAAATCTTCATCATTTCTCATTTCTGACCTTTGGAGTGTGAAGACAAACTTCATTTTGTATCAACATATAGAATGCCCCATGATTGCAACATTGGTTCAACACCATAATTATTGGTTCGTAGAACATTTGACAACACATTCATTCTTTCCTGTGGCTTCTGTCCAAATTTCTCAACCAAGAAACTTTTTGCATGGTGTTTAGAGCATTTGCATGATGTCACAAAGACACTTAAGAACAAAGCTTGTTGGGAATACAAGTGGGATGCCTTAACTTGTCAGCAACAATGTAGGTGAAATTACCAGTATAATGCAACTGTATGATGAAAAAAATGATCATATATGGTCATCTCCAATGTCACTATTTCACCATTTTCATTCTTCATACCTTTCTGTATCATTGGAAATATTTGTTCAAATCAATGATCTTTCTGAATGATGATATGGGCTTTCAGCATGCCCCATCATTTGCTTCTTGTTGATATGAACCTTCAAAAATGCTCAACATTGTCGTGATCGTTCAAAATATCCTACTTGGATCATTTTTGTATGAAATGGGCCTTCAACATACCCCACATAAATTATTTCTGAGTGTAATGGGCCTTCATCATGCCCTGATATTCTAAGTTGTAAGGTTCACTCTTAATGTCCATTTGATTTGAATCTCATGATTCCCTCGTGATCCAATTTTGATAATGTCCCATCGTGGGTACTCGTGGCTCTATTCTTGCCAAATCTCTTGATCTTGAATGCTCTCATTCCAATGTTACTAAACAACAATGTTGTTAAGTAACTTGAGGGATTCTCTTCATATTGTCACAGACTTAAAAGGTGATTAATCTTTCTGACAAAAATGTTTGAGATATATACCTCTTCCGAATGAGATGATCACTTTCTTGTTGACTGGTTGCATTCTTGCCCTTTTGTTAGACTCTGAGATATGTGCCTTTCTTTCAAATGAGGCGATCATCTTTATCTTGACAGGTTGTAAAGGAATATTATAAGTTCAATTCCCCAAACTTTGGTTTCTCAGGCCACTTACTTTCAAGAATGTGAAATGCTTCATCATTCTGGCCTTGTTTATTCTAGAGATAGAATAGACATCAACTCACTTTAGGATCTTTTCTCATTTGAGACCATCCTGTTTAAAAATGTTCTTCCTCATTTCTTATCAAAGAATGAAAGAATTTTGTAAAATATTGCACCTTACAGATTCACAATAGAATCAAATTATAAGCATGAATTCAAAGAATATCGAAAGAATCAACAACTTTTACCATTTCAGAGTAATAGTTCTTTGACAAGTATCAAGATTGAGATGTTAGTTTTAGGTTGGCTTCCTTATTTTATATGGTTACATATTACTGAAGATGTCACTCGTCTCTTACTCTTTTGCGAACATTGTCACACACCTCACTTTCTTGAGTTGGTATCTTTAACCGGATGCGTACAAAATGACACAATCTAGTATAACAATTACTAGACCTTCTAAAATACTTCCATTTCAATTCTCTGAAATCTTTGATTCTATTCAAAGCAGAGTGAAAACATTGATCTAATAATGACATTTCTGTGTGCATATGTGAAATAGACTATAACATGCATTTTTTTCACTTTTTTACAATAACTTCTTTTTCCATTTTGGCTAGCTGAATTCAACTTTATCGACATTAGCCATAATTGGGCTAATTACATATATGACTCTTACTTTTTACAGGAAACCTGTTATAGTCTATGTGTTTAGTGAAATTTAAAAATCTTATTATAAATTTCAATTTACCAGCAACTGACTTATACAAGATTTGTCAATGTTTCATTGTCGAACCTCATCAATAGAAAAGTAATCTAGCTAGCTTTGCAATGTCACAAAAGATGCCCCACGTTGTATGCTTCTAAATATCAATACCAAACCTTTTGTCTAATTCCTTACATTGGAGAAAGCTCTCTCATATTTGTGGAAAGGTAATATTTGGAGGGATGCATTTCTTCTGAGGTAAGGTCAGGGTCATTTTTTTCTTGGTATTCAATCTTGATACTTTTTTCAAAGATGTATAACTCTAATCGTAAAGAGCTTTTAATCTAATGATACTCAAAGAATTTCAAGATTGCAAAATTGATTCAATGCTCATAACCTTAAAAGTAGCACATTTTTATTACAAAAGGCGGAGAAAAGAACAAAAAATATTCAAACAAGATGCTACAAAATAAAAGGTACAATAATGGTAGACAACAACTTCCAATGCCTCATTATTCATCCAATGTGATCAATTGACTTAATCATGCTTTGATGACCCGCTTGAGTTTGTCATCCATTGTTCCACCAATTCTTGTGTCAATGTCCCATTGTCAACAAGCATTTTTATCTCCTTTAACAGTGGTCTACAATTTCCTGTAGAATGTCCAGATACCCCCAAATGGAAATCACAAACACTATCCTTATCATAGCTGGTATTTTCGTTAGCCTCGGTGTGATGTATTGACCTTCAATCAAATGTGGGTACAGATCTGAGATAGAAGTTTGGAATACCTTCAAAGTATTTCTTAATCGTGGAATTTTCTTTGGTTGGTCCAAACCACTAATTGCTCTTTCTCTTTTGCGGTTGCGGGGACTCTGGATGTGACATTCATTCACATCATCAGCTTTTATCTTTTGATCAGGTAGGTTTTTGGATGACTTGTAAGTTTCCTTCTCTGATTTCATTTTCAATTAAATCTCCACTTTTCACAAGATACTTGAATCCATTCTTTGAACTTGCGAGCATTAACTCATAGAAAGGAGTTGGAAGGGAATCATGAAACATATATGATATCTCTTCTTCTATCATGGGAGGTTGAACTTGTGATGTCACTTCTCTCCATCTTAAGGCATATTCTTTAAAGCATTCTTTGGCTTTCATCCTTATTTCTTGAAGATCCTTACATTTGGGAGCTATGCTTTTAACATATCGATATTGTCCAAAAATGCATCGGCAAGATCGACCCATCTCTTGATCTGGTCTCGATCTAAATGATTGTACCATACTACTACTGGTACAACAAGACTATCATAGAAGGAGTGAATTAATAAATAATCAAAATTTAGGTATCATTCCATTTTTCTGCAAAATATTCTCAGGTGGATTAAGGGACAACTGGTGCCATCATATTTTTCAAAATCAGGCATCCTGAATTTATGTGGAATAACCAAGTCTGGAACCAAACTGAGTTCTCTTGCTTCTAATTCCATACATGCTAGGGCCCTCTTTTATAACCCTTATTTATTCTATTAATTGTTCCCATTGTTTGTTTGACTCTTTTTTGCCTTCTTGATCAAAATTCAGAACATCTTCATCTTGTTGTTGGTTTATAAAGGTACTAGGTAAGTTTATGTTTACTCTTCCAGACTGAGTAATCATTCCTTGTTGGGCTTTAACATGAGGTGGTATAAAACCTGGAGGGTACAGAGGTTCCTCAATAACACCAATAACTGGAGTTTTTTCCCGATCTTGCGGTGTAAAACCCGGAGAGTATAGAGGTTCTTCAGTAGTAGTACCAACAGTTGGAGTATTTTCTCATTCCATGCTTCTTCCTTGTAACATGCTTGCAATTTTTTCAATCAGATCATTTTGGGATTTCAGCATTTGTTCATGCATTTCTTCTTGAACTTTCTTGAAGCTCTCTTGCATTTCAAGATGTTCTCTTTCGATTTGGGCGATTTTATCATCCATTACCTTTTTTCTAGTATTGTATGGATGCTTAAAGGTGTCCAATATTCTTTGAAAAAACAAAAAACCCCTTTTAATAAATATGGATGTTTTATTAATGAATATGATAAATATGACTAAAATGCAATGTAAAAAATCATATGCATATGTAAGATGCAAAATGCAAGGTGTTGACATTGGAATGATTCCTTAGAACAACTTTTATACTAAAATGAAGTTTTAAACATATTACAGATACATCTGTATTGTTTTCTACTTCATGTAGAACTCTTCGTTCCATATTTCTAGCCTTTTATATGAACATCAATCATGAATCAACACCATGGTATGAAAAATGTAATGCATAATGAAAATGATAAAAAAAAACCAAAGGAAAATTAGGTAGTAATATATAAAAATCCTAGCCTCATGCAATCTAGTTCCATGTTTTATTTGGAGAAATAAATCTAACCGCATGATTTCTAGTTCGCATACATTTATTAGGAAAATAAAATAAATTAAAACTCAACATGTTTTTCCTTGTGTGCTAACCTTACGAGACTCTCTTGGGTTGGGCTCTGACTAGATTCGAGTTCTAGGTTTATTATATGCTGAGTTTGGATCTAAGGTAAAAGGGTTATCGAATTGTCCTTTGTTGGTGCCCTCTTGGACTGCCAAACCATCAATCCTAGTCCATTACAGACTTTCGGATCGAGTTCAATTCAAAGGAACACACTTCCTTATGTCTATACGAAGGTGAAAACCACACGAGGAACATAAGGTGTGAGCTCAAGGAATAATCCCCTATCCCATACGGAGGTGAAAACCACACGAGGGAGTAGTTTCTCATTCATACTAAATAGGATAAGAGTGGGATTTTAGCTCATGTCATGATAATGCATTGCTCAGTAGGTGAGAAAAAGTATAAAAATAAATAAATAAATAATGTACAATACACAAATTTATTCTTTAAATTTAAAGACACAATTAAATATGAAAACATTAACAAACAAGTTAGTACAACTATTTAATTGTTAATTAATTCACAAAAAATGGTTATTCAAGGGAAAGAAATTAAATTAACCAAATTATAATTTATTGCAAAGACAATTAATTAGTAAATTGGTGGCTTGACTCTCTAAACAATTTGACCCCAGCAGAGTCGCCTAGCTGTCGAGATGGTATTTCGCCCGCCGAAAACAAGTGTCGTTGTTTTCTAAATCTCGTCTCGAAAAAATAAGTGTTTTTCTTCTAACATAAGATAAATCACAAATTTAAGGAGTCACCACCAATCATTTATGGAGGTGTGATTGGTCACCAAAATGCTTGGTTATTTTAATAAAATTTATAAAAATATTATTAAATTAACACAAAAAGGGTATACTTACCAGAAAATGTGTTCGGGAGTTGGTTACGTGTGGAGATAGATTAGCACCCCCACAACGCCCAAAATTAGTACCTTCAATAAATATCAAGGGTATTATTTTACAGCAATAAATCATTTAAAATAAATTCCTAATAAGTTAAGAAAATATTTTATAATTTATTGTATAAAATAAAATAACCCAAACACACATAATAAATTTAATGATTAAATCAATAAAATATCAAAATTATAGGTTACTATTAATAAATACTTAATGTGCAAAGTACTATAATAGTAAATAATTCTAAAAATAATATTTAAAATTATTATTTTAAAACTAAAGGATTAAAATTGTAAAATATCAAAATTAAAAATCCTAATTCTAAATATCATGAAATCTAGGTATTATTTGTGTAATTTATTCCTAATTACTAATAGGATTAAAATATAAATTATTAAAATAATATGGACTAAATGTGATATTTATCCTATATATATATAAATATACAAGTAGTGACTAAAATAAAAATAAATAAATGCGAAGACAAAATTAAAAGATATAGAAACCTGATTTCGGTGTTATAATGGAAGATTACAGAATAAAGGGACCACATATGTGATTTATCAATCTTGAAATTATACAGATACTCCCTCCCCAAAACGACGTAGTTTTGAGGAGAGTATAAATAGGCCTTAAATGACCATTTTTCCTCATTTTTCTTCATTTTCCTCTTTTTCTTTTCTCTCTAAGGAGAGAGAATCTCTCCCTTCTCTTTAAATTCCCTCACCGAAAGGAAAGTCGGTCACCAGCAGACCACCGCCTCGGCCCCGTCGGCACTATTCCGGTCATCGGTCCTTATTCACGGTGGTCGAAAAATATAAAAATAGCTCAAAATGTAGATCGAAACACCCCTACCCAAATTCAAGTTTCTTTTTCGCTAAAAGCTAGTCAATCAGACTGGATCTGAGATTTTACCTTCGGTAAAATCACTTTTCCGATGACGTTTGGGCTTTGACGGAGGTAAGATCTCTTCTCCTTTCTCTTTGCTTTCGGCTTGTTTTGGTTGCTATGTGGTGTTCTCTCCGTCTTTCTCCGTGTTTGCGCTATGTTCTTGTTGTCCTCTTCTTTGCAGGTTTTTAAGGCTTTTTATAGGCCTCAGACAACTGTTCATTTTGGTGAGTCACCGGATATGGTGACTCACTATAGGGAGTGAGGTGTGCGGCTCTTCTGCGGCTTCTAGAGTATTTGGTGAGATCTGATGGTGACAGTGGCAGTGGTGAGGTATCAATGGAGGCGGCTGCTGCTAGGGTTGGACTTGTAAACGGGCCTTCGTATTTTGTTGTAACTGGACCTTTATTTTTATTGTATTATTTTTAATAATAATATAATTATTATAATAATAATAGTAAATAAAAATACGGGACAAAAATGACTATCCACAATAACTATTGCTTATTGCATGTTAACTACTTCGGTTTAAAGCTCAGGTAACTTGAGCTGATGATGTTATATGTTCAGTTGAGCAAATCTAACAGGCCTAGTTTAGCCGCAGGGCAGGCGCAATCTTGCGGTTCTAACAGTTCCCCTCTGCTTGGAAAAAAAGATGTGGGGGTTGATTGCACTTTTTCTTCACGATGCATCTGAAAGGTTGTGCTCGAGGATTTGTATTGGCCCGGTGTTTGTCTTAAGAAGGTTGAAATTTTCAGAAATCACAGGGTCACAGCCAAATACAGAGTTCATTACTGGAAACATTAAATAGATACATGAATAGGTTTATAAAGAAAAAAACAATTGATGCATGATATAAGCTTATTTCATAGAGTAAAATGGTTCAGGTCCGCTTGACGGGGTCGAAGTTGGAAACACCAATCACAGCTCCAATAATGGCAACAACCAGAACACAACAGCCGCGATGCTAAGCAAGAAGTTCTCGAGAGAAGGGGTAGCTCCATCAGTAGCTTGAGCGACCTCAGGGATCACCATGGATGTCGTGATTGCAGCTGCTGTCAACCCATGATGCCTTCTCCTTGAGTGAAGCAGCAGCCTTCACTTGAAGCCTTCCATTGGATCTTGCTGCGTTTGTCACTGCCCCTGATGGCTTGATTGACAATGGCTTAAAGAAAGACTCGGAGCCAAGGCCCTTGTTTTGGGTAGCAGGAGCAAAAGGCAGAGCCATTGAAACGGCTGAAGTGGAAGCCATTGCTTTTATTTCTTCAATGCTCTATCCAAGCCTAGAAACCTTCTCTGCTGGTATGAAGGAAAATGGGGTGGCCTTGCCATCGCATGTCAGCGTTATCTCTATCCTACGTGGCGACTTCTAAAGCTGTACTTGATGGATAAGATTATCTTGTATTGGTCCAATGGCTCCTCAACTTTGAAATTTGGGGACACAATGTGATGTTGAAGGTTGGACACCCAGTGACTAGTTGCGTGTACGGCATTGGCCTGATGAGAAAAGGTTGTTTATTCAAATTTAATTTACTTCAAAAAGGTCTTTTTTGTTATTTAACTAGTAATATACATTCCGGCTGTTTGTGTGGGTCTTTTGATTCTCGAAGAAGAAGAGATTGATATTATTTAACTAGTCATTTTCTTTAAAGAAGAAACGGGAAAACACATTCTTTCATTGATATCGACTTTTTCTTTACCACCACCCAGATACACAGTTGATCCTCAATCAACCATCAGTTTTTAAGAAACTAATAATGATAATATTGAGATTAATATAAAATCCCACCATGACATTTCTAGCTAAGCTTCTATGAAGCTGGGAAAACTTAGCTGCTCAAATAAGAACACAGGTACCAGTAGGCAAAAACACCTGGCTTACATCACTGTAGAAGGGATTCTACAAAATATGGCATCAGAAATGTGAAAAATACTCACCCCCTCCCTACAATTTTTAGTAGCACCATAAGAACGCCATAACCTCCTTTATAAGTATTGTTCATGAATCCTGGTTCGGTTCTCTTCCCACCACAGTCTAGCATGCATCTCCCCAAATCTTTCTCGGCTGCATCATATAAAGTGATTGAAAAAAGAAAAGAAAAAACAAATTACATTTCCTCAGTTAAAAAAGTCATGGTAAAAGAAGGGTTCATGGTAGATTTGGGTCCGCAAGGGATGGGAGTAAAATTATTAGTGAAAGCAGAATAAGCGAACCAGTAATGATGCTGTCAAAAAACCAAAGATTTCCAGCTAAGAAATCTATTTCTGACCATCAGTAATTCATATCATATCATAGTTGTTTTTCTAAGGTGGACATTAATCATACAATTGACCTGTGCTGGACCCATCAGCTTAACAATGGAATCATATCCACGGAAAAAAGATGGCTTTTTGGAGCACTTCTAATGAGTCATAAATGTTTAACTGTTTTAACCTCTACCAAACTGCCCTCTCTAATGACTTTTCCTACTAGAATTAGCCTTGATAGATAGCATATCTAGTATTTACTGCCTGATAATTTGATGGTAACAATATCTAAAGCAGAGTGAATGAATCTAGAAAGCCTGTTGGTCATTGAGGAGAGTGCAAGTTACATCACATTCAACCTATCATAGTCCGTAATATGCAAGAAAAGCCATCAGATAAAAAAATTCATCGTTTGGGATAGACATCAAAGCTATGAGTCCGGCTAGCAATGAGAGTAAGGTAATAGTTTAATGACAAAAGATATTGCCAGCCATACCTGAATCGAACTCGCCTGAGCTCCCTTTTGCCCCCTGGCAAGGCTTTGATAGTAATGTAAACCCCTGGTTCATCTTGTTCAACCCATTCAGGCTCAAGATCACTGGCATTGCTGATGGACAGCTCCCCGGAGCGATCTGCTTCTCTTGATGAGCTACTTCTGATAGAGGCATCCATAGATGATATCTCCGTCTTGCCACCACTAATACTCGAAACTTTTGGGGTTGAGGCAACACCGGAGTCGGAATAATTCCGAGCCTGCATCGGATGTTGGTCAAGTGAATCTGAGGATGAGTAACCCACGCTCAATCCTGTTGGACGGTATAAGTTACGAGGTAATCGTTCTCTACTCAATGGCGGTGTTACAGGGCTTGCTTCTGCAGATTCCATTTTCGAGATCTGTAAGGAATCAAAGGAATGATGTTATGAGCATTGGAAAAAAAAAACTTCGATTCATTTCGCACTATCTTAAGAAGGCAACAGCCTAAGAACTTGCCTCATCTTCGGATATCGGAGGTGTTGGCAGCGCAAAGGCATTTCGGTTTAACCTCTGGACATTGTAAAGTTCCTTGATCCTGTCATAGTTCTCAGACCACCATCTTTGAGCTTGCCATTTGTTAAACATTTCTCGACTGGTCAAAGACAATAAACTATATTTCAGTACTCATGATGTTCATCGTATTAGCATATACCAGAAAGACACAGCTAGCAAACATGTATCAGGGCCGTCAAGCACAATTTGCGTAAAAAAATTATCTGAAAATAAAGGATTAAATTTGTGTACTTTTGAAGCACTATTTCACAAAATTAAGATAACACTGTATACATGCTATATTACCTTTATTTTTCCCCACAACTATGACCAATATCACTGCATTATTATGCTTTTCTATGTGAATGGAAAAATTAATTATAATATAGGGCCACTAGATTTGCCTAATAACAACTTTTGACTAAACATTTCCCCTGCTTTGAATCATAAAGAAAGCTAGGGCTAGCTACCAAACCTTAATTTTCTAGGTATAATCATTGTGTTTAAAGTAGTGAGAAAACTAATCTTCAAAAAAAGCAAAAGCATCAGGAGTCTAAAACCAATGAGGAATTTTATCGACCATTAAACTATTTATAGTCATACAAACATGAAAGTTGTAGTGACTAAGAAATCAACTGAAATAAAATCAGCTCTAGAATAGTTACAAAAATATTATCTTTAAAGAAAAATGGTCCAACATATTTAAAATGTATACTTCTATCTATTCTATCCTCACCCTGTGTGGGGTAATTCTACTATGGTATCCTAATATAAGATTAAAGAAATATATTATTGAAAATATTAATATTTTTTTAATATATGATAAAACACTAATTAAAATGTTATTTTTTCTATCGAAAATATTAATTTTTCTACTAAAATCAATAATTCTGATATTAACATTTCATATAAAAAAATAACATTTTAGATAGTGTCTAATATTAATATTTTCAGTTAAAAAAATAATATTTTAGATAATACTCTACCGATAATATTATAAAAATATTAATATTTTTTAATAACATTTTTCTTAATCTTATATAAACCGTTTTTCTTAGACATTCCTTATCTCTTTCCGGGGAAAACATTAAAAAAACGAAGGTTGCAGTCTAGGTGTTAGGTAAAAGATAATCTCCGTGATTAGAAACATTTAGGTTTTGGAGTGGCAAATGATGTGGGCAATTCCCTAGCTAATAGTAGGCAAATATGACGAGATGGGTGTATGAATGAACTGGGATTCTTTTGATTTTAATGGGAAAGAAAAGAAAAGGAAGAGAGGCTTCCCCGACAAGACGACAAGGAGTCAGTGAAAAAACTTGCCAATCCCAACACAACTAGTACTGTCCTGTCCCACCACCCACCCATCTGATGTGATAATTAAGGCTCAATTTAAGCTCTACCTTTAAGACTTTTATCGGATGATTCCTTTTCTTTTTTTTGAAACACAGGATGATCCCTTTTCATTAGGCGTGAGTGAAGCCCTGTTTGTGTAGGCCACCCTCACAACTTTAAATTCTCCATTTTCTTGCCCAGGTTGCTAACCCAATGTTTGAATGGCAATTTTTATAATAAACCATTCAATTAACTTTAAATAATTTGATTTTTAAAATAATTATTTATTAAGTTTAGAAAATAAAATTATTTTTTAAATATAACTCAACAACACAATCTATTTTATGTTAAAGATGTATAAAATTTAAGGTAAAATATTTCCTTTTACAAAAGAAATTCTATTTCGTTATCTTTTTTACTTTGACAAACTTTTATTTATTTAATTTAAGAAATATATATTATCCCAAAAATTAAAATTGTTTCAACTTACCCCAAAGAGTTTCCAATCAATTTTCCAAACAGGGAGTAAAAATATTAAATTTAAATGCAACCGTAAGACTAAGAATCTAACGCTTCAAAACAAATCAGAACCGCGAAGAAGTGAAATTCAATGGGAAATCGAAGGCGCACCTGAAGCGTATTTTCTTGAGATCGTTGCCGCCACGAGGGAGCGAGATGAAGGTTATAAGAACTCCGGGCTCCACCTGAGCTACCCACTCTTTAGGCTCATTTTCTTCGACGAACACGATCGGTTCGGCACGGCGGCCACTCAACGAGTTTGGCGTGGCTTCTCCGCTCGAACTCGATATACCTTTCAACCTCGCTTCCATCTCCTTCCCCCACGTCCTAGAACTCCCAGTTCTACGGTATGACCACTTGGAACGATCCGAGTCCGCGTCAGAGCCACCTCCCGGTGGGTTGTTGAACCGAGTCTGCGCTGTGCAGGTGCTGCAATGCTTGTACGCCCCCGACGCCTTCAGCGCCATGTCCTTCAACTAAAACACCAAAAATGAAAACGACTCTCGTTAAACCTAAAAACAAAGAGCAAAGAACTCAAAAACCTGGACACCGTAAAACTGACAGTGACTTTACCTGAGATGTGAGAGATTTCATGGCTTGGTTTTGCTTACTGTTAGGATTATTGGACGAGTCGGTTTCCTCTGGCTGAGTCAGTGAGTCATCCCCAGATTGCTTGGAACGAGCTATGCACGTTAGCATTGTCGTTTACGAAAATCCTCAGGAAAATGAGAATACTTCTGCGGAAGAGGAAACATTCAAAAACAACATTTACATTTCTCATAATTCAGAGTAAAATAAAATAGACATTAAAAATAAAAAAAAAAGTACAAGAATTCGGGTTTAACGTACAGAGAAGCAAAATCTAGTCTACTGAGAAATCTGACGATCAGTGGTTGGGCTGCGTTCTTTTTGTTTTTGGAAGTTCGAGGGAACTCGAGTAACGAGACTCGGTCTGGGTGATGAGCACTTTACTTGGACGTTAGAATTAAAGCGATCAGAGAATCTCTGCACTGACCCATTATAAAGCAATTATAAACAATAATAAAAGAAAATAAAATTTAAAAGCAAAAGAAACCAAGATCACCTTTCAATCGCATCGGAGGCAAGCAGCTGTCTGTAGTTCGCTCTTTTTTTTTTCTAGGATAAGGCAAAAGCAAATTGGTTTTGAGTGACGCCTCTCGATTCGCTATAATGGAATCGGCATTGCGGTGCGACGTGAAATTGGTTCATGTAATAGAATGAGGAGTGAAGGGGAGAGAGAGAGTTAAGTGTATGGGTGTTAATGTCTGGGCCCAGCTCAGCTGATGTTTCCATTTTATACTCTTGCTGATGAATTGATTGGTGCCCGATCCTGCTTTTCGTTTTAGGCTTTGGGTTGTGTGAAATGTCCCATTGGAGAAAATTGATGGGCTTACTTCAATTCTTTGAAGCCCCAATAACCGTTTATTCCATACATGAAAATGGCGTTATTGGACCACACGCACAACACAGTGGGGCTTAGCTTCAAGCTTTTCCTTCTTTTCAGCCTCTGAATAGACAGAAGATCTTTTACTTACACACCATAACTAGTAAACTGCTGCGAACAAACAAAAATATTACACGAGAGTACATTGAACTATAAAATCTTAATTATATACAGTTATACGCTTGAAAACAATGTCTGAAACCCTGTGACAAGGGTAACCTACTATCAAACAGACCAACTGGATTCTCATTTGACCTCACATCCATTCACTCTCGAATTACGAGTTCTATAAAGGAGAAATGGTGGAGCCAAAGATCAAGTGTGGTTGTACTACAGAAGACATTTGTATTGAGGAATAAATTACACCAAGCACTCTTGATCAACAAAAGCATATTAATTTTTAGACCCTAACGAAAAATGTTACTATACCTTTGCTTTCAACTTGAATTTACACGGATAAACACATTCCATATAAATACAAGGAAATCGCCACAGGCATATCCTGTTTGATTTCGAGAAGATTTCAATGCAAGTGCAACTCATTTTAACCTGATAGTTTCATTGGGGAATATAACATTGGGATTTCGGATATGTGGATTCAGGGCTGCCAATTCTTTCCATTTAGCTCCAGTACCAAGAATACGAGACGAGATGCTCCACAGTGTATCACCTGGCTGAACCTTTGTTGTTGAAGGGGTTGAAGATTTAGAAGGAGCCTTGGAGTTCAACAATGTATGTTTATTGCTCTTTCCCATTCCATTGGTAAGCAGCCATCAAGAACCACTGTTGTTGGCTCTTGGTACCCCAAAGTTTCTTGCCAGGCTCAGTCTTCAAGCCTGCAACATGGACTTCTGTGATTCTGAATTGAGGAATCCCTTCCTCATGGGAAGCATTTTCCTCTTTTATTCTGTCCTCTTTCACCAACTTCTTCATAGTAGACTCAGAGTCATCATCCTCTTGATTGTCATTCCATGAAACTGTTCTGTATATCTTTGGCTTTGGTGGAACAAATACACTCTCCACTTGAATGAGTGAAAGCATTGGTGCACCAACTGGCTCATAGTTTCTTATAGGATCATGAAGTTGCACCATCAAGGCCACTGTGAAGTTATTCCCTAACAAACCACACTTTTTACCCCCGCCTTTTCACTCCCTAGGAACTCTGCGAATCAAGTCCAAAGATGTAGCATGATGCCAGCAAGGAGTTTAGAAGTTCGCTCGCTCATTTGATCTTCATCATCAATTTCACCAGAATCAAGTCTCATCCATTCATCAAGGGTTAGTTACAAACCCATTAATCCATCAACATCATCACCGCTGTTTTTTATGTCCATCAATTGCAACCCACCGGTTCCATCCAGACCAAGGGACCCACTAATACCAAACCCCCTGCCTTGAAGGGATGAAATTTCCCCAATTGACTGTGAACTGATGTTTGCAGGAGCATCCAGATCTGACATGCCAGATTGAGTTCTCGAGCCTTCCATCGAGAGTGCTTCAATCTTATCAATTGCCAGTGGAGCAATAATTCAAGGGATACACAATCTGAACCCATCTCATTGACAGAGGTTGAGCAACATTTGTTTGTGCCGAGTAGAGGTGATACTCTCTTAACTTTCTTTTGTCCACCAGACATATCTTGCCCAACCTCAAATCCATTCGGAAACAAACACTGTCTGCACAGAAGAAGCAATAACACACAATATCAGTACGTCTTATAGTTTAACCAAAAAATGATTAAAGAATGAAATATGGAGCTACAAACCTCTCAGGTCCTTCCAAGGTTGGGGCAGTTTCCCATGCTACTTGTTCCATAGTCTTACCAGTTATATCCTCCAAAGGCATCAATTTATTTGCCTGCCTAGAGAGCTTTTCAATACCAACTGAGCCCAATTGCCGAAGTATATCCATTATACCAGAACCCATTTCAACAGGTACAACAACTGGATTAGACACCTGCATGATCATGTTCCCACAATTTTTAGCATTGCTGAAAAGTGAGGGATTCATAGACCGCAAAAACCCTCCCTTCTTTGTCTGAACAAATGGACATAAACCTTCTCCAAGAGGAGGCAATTCAAGTGGCTCTTCAGGAGGCAAATGAACTGGACTCGCAAATCCACCAGAAGAGTCAGGTGGAGAATGTTGGAAAGCCTTCTCATTTAATCCCCACTCACGCATTAAAGCTTCTGTCTCCTGGTCTTCCAACACTTTAGCCCTCATTTTGTTGTTCTCGTTCCTTGCCATCTGATGCTCTTGCTCAACATCTTGAATAACAAGTGACAGATCATCAGTCAAGTTACCCCAACCAGAAGTAGTTGAAGTGTCAAAGTCCTCTCCCTCAGCCATGTCAAAATCAATAAGGAAAAACCACTAGCTAGTGCATCTTCCTCAAATTGCCTGAGTAGTCGCTCCCGAGGCGACTCTGGTTCAATCTCGGGGCTCAAGCTGACTGGACTATGATCAAGACCCAGCATATTCAACTTTCCACAGATTCAGTAACTTTGTCCAAGTCAAGTGACTTCACTTTTCTAATGGTTCTATAATAAGCTTTATTCTCCATGTAGTCTTCAGGGTTTCAGGATCAGGAGAATCTAATGCCGTCTCCAAATTTGTAATGCCATCTAAAGCTGTCTTCAATTCTCTCATCAATGATTCTTTTGGGCACTGGTCTTTGGAATTCCAATCTTGCACTACAAGCACATCACTTTGATTACTACTACTCGCCTCACTTAAGGGACGAGGATGAGAGCATTCTTCATAATTTACTCCTGTGCCAGGATTAGTTTCAACTTGAGCAACTTTTACTGTTGATATGGCCTGTTCATCTGAAAATAATTCTATCCCTTGTTCCACAACAGAGAAGCCATTATCTTCAGTTTCTTTTTCAATATTTTCCTTACTTGATTCGGATCCAAAGTAAGATGGAGGTTTAGCTGAAGCATCTGACTTGTCATCATCAAATTTCTGATTTAGCCTTTTTGTATCAAGCGCTTTGACAATGGAAAAACCTCATGAAGATCTTTTACCTCCTCCACAGGATGAGATGAGCCAAACAAGTCGAGGTCAACCAAACTCGGAAGAGACTCAACCCGTCTCATTGTGCCCTTCCGATCACCGTGACCAAATCTAGTAATTGCTTTTCCCTTACTCAGATTATTTTGTTTCAGCTGATTATCTCCGAGTGGCACAAGATTATCCCCAATGATAGCATATCCAAGGCTAACATTCATTGTAGCACCCTTGGCCTTACTTGATAACTTAAAACTTGTTGTCCACTTCCCTGAGTTCTTCTCTTCCTCCAATTCCTCCAATGTAACCAGAAGTAGTCTGTGTAAGATCAAGTCGATGCTTCCCCAAATCAAGGTCTGGTGTACCAAACAGATAAGCATAGAGCAAGAAATGCTTGGCCTCATAATTGGCTGAATGATGAGGTCCACTTTTACTACCACATACCGAGCATGTATGTGTCAGCTTCTCTTCAACTTCAGCAGTTCATCAAAAACTTTAGCAGGACGAGTCATTAGCCCCCCGTCCCACCTCCTCCTCCAATGCACACATAGACTAAGATCATTAAAACTGACCGGCAAACCTTCAATGGAGTGTACATGAAGTGAGAAACATCAAACAATCTACGGTTTCTAACATTTGAGATTGCCTTCAACGTCTTCCAGTTCCAAATGGATTTCTTGTCTTTACGAGATGGGTCCTCATTATTATTCTTAAGCTTAGGTTTTGGTGGGGGCAAGTGGGGTTTCCCAGCTGGTTTGGACATTATTCACAGAAGAAAATGAAGTCCATGGAGGATTCTTGTCCAAATACAAAGCTTTGCTAATAGCTTCAATTTCATTCAACAATTTCCTATTACCTGAATCTTCACCGTTCTTCTAGTTTCAACTTTGGACAACAACATCTATTTTATACAAAATAAAAAAAAAGCAGATTAAAAAATAGATCAAGTAAATATAACAAAAACATAGAATGAATAAATGACTCCAGTAAAACTCAAGAAATTGAAAGTCAATCAAATTACCAAAATGAGCTTTCCAGCGACCAAAATTCCCCGTTCAGAAGCCCTGTTTTAGCAAGAGACTCTCTTTGGCCTTTTCCCATCCAATATTTCAAAAAACACATATATATATAAACTCAGTGGAAATTTATAAAGGGGAAAAGAAAAGAAAATCTAGTCGATGAAATAGAATCAGGCGGAGATGTCGAAATCTTGCAAACAAGCGAGTTGCGAATTATGAAAACACACACACAAACAAACAAGAAATCCTGCACGAAGTGAGTTGAAGTGGCTGACAGTATTCAGGCGTGTTTGCCTCGGCGGGTCGCTTAGTGACCGTCCCCTTTCGTCTCTGATTTGCCGCCGTCTTTTTCTCAGTCCAACATTTCAAATCGTGCTACAAAGTTTCGTAGTTATATATTTACTTGCAGGGTAAAATGCAAGCATAGATAACTCAATTATTGATAATATTATAATTTAATCATTGAATTTCAAAAAATTGTAAATGAGTCATTTAACTAATCGATAAACACAATCATGTCATCCTACCATTAAAAATGAAACGAACGTTAATTTCTTATTGTACTCAGTCACTCATTTTATTAATTTTTACAATTAATTCATTGAATTTAAATAAAAATTTGACGTTTGTTACATATTTAATGGCATGTGATATATTTATAATAATCAATCAATTGAATGATCCGTTTATAATCTTACTTATATTCAAGTCACATGGTATATAT